TCTTCGTTTTCAAATTTTGTCCAGTTTCTCTGCCCATCCGTCTATTCCTTCTGTAGATCCCTCTAGCTTGTCTAGCAATCTGTTGGAACGTTGTTATTTTCTCCTTCTCCACTATTTTCTGTCTTGTCTAATTCTCTTCTTCTTCTTCTTCTTCTTCTTCTTCTTCTTCTTCTTCTTCTTCTTCTTCTTCTTCTTTTTCTCCCTCTTCGGTCTGTTGTTGTCATGTGAGTTTGGTCTAAGCCGTCTTTATCATTACTGTGTGTCACTCCGACACCACTCACACTCCGATCGGGAAGTAGCGCTGGCCGTGAAGTTGGGCGTCACAGAGGCGGGGGAGGTAATAGAGGTGGTTAGGCAATTGATACAAGCAGAGATCACAAACCAGTGGCAGGCAGCCAGACAGCAAATGAGCTTTGTGCACTCCGGAAAGGATATTGCTAAGATTATCACACGCTTCTGCGAAGAATGGCTGAGGGGGGAGAAAGGGTGGGTGGATGGCAGACGTATCCTGGTCAGGAGATAACCCCCACGGAAAGGGAGGGGAGGCAGGGGGAGCAATGCCCAGAGACTACATGCTGTCCTTTCGGGAATGGACTGCAATAGACGCTGGCACCCCCCTGAGACAGGCGACAGACTTCCCGGATCCCTTCCCCCCCCAGCCGTTATCACTTGTGGAAGTGCCTTCCAGCGGTTAAAATGCCCCTTCCGGCACAATGCTTTCCCGATTGTTACTACCAGTTCTGAAGGGACGCTGAGCCCAGTTCTCAGCCTGTTTTTTTTCAAAACGACCACCTTCAAGAGACTTATTTTTTCTACAATCGTGTTTCTCAGAATCTCAGGAGGGACACTGGGCTCGGTTCCCAGCACACGATCACACGAGGACGGTATGAGGATAGCATGAGGCTAGCAGGAAAATGCCCCAGAGACAAGGAATTTTGGGGCGGGCAAGAGAATGGAAGGAGGACTCACTGGTGCCCCCCTGGGGCTCTTTCCGATGCCCGGCCAGGCCACAGATTAGGAAAGGAAGGGAAGGGCTGATATGGAACGCTGGACCGGTTTCCAGCACAATGGTTCTGTCCTGATGTTTCAAAAAGACTTTTGGACGCTGGGCCCGATTTCCAGCAGGTGCTGCTCCCCACCAATAGATGGAGCCTCCCCGGGAGAGAGAGGGGCGTCAGCTCATACCAGCGCCCCTAGCTCCCAGACGGAGGAGCTAGGCAATGGTACGTCGGGGAACTTTATTACCAGTCATTCTACTGAAGTTACCCCTTTTTTGGGGGGGGAACTACACGGGAGTCACAAAAATGAGTTATAATTGCACTATGGGCCAAGATACAGTTTCAAATTGCAGTTCAGGCGATGTATACAACCCACCTTTCTGGCCGGGTAAGGTGCCGGAAGTGCCATTGCAAACTGTATCTTGCCCCATAGTGCAATTATAACTCGTTTTGTGACTCTACTGAAGTTAACCCCCTTTTGTTTTTTTACGTGGGCCCCGTCTTGCAGCAATGGCATTGCTACTACTAGCAGTGCAGCGCTCTTGAGCTCGTAGCACAAGCAGCACGGCCATTGCCATGGCCACTGCACAGCTCTGTAGTATATTCACACCAAACACCAGCTGCTGTTCTAACATCACTACGGGCACCACTAGGAGGAAGACTTGGGCTTAGAAAAAAAAAAAGACTTCCAAGTTAGTCTATCTGAGGAGCAGCGACATTGTCAGCAAGAGCAGCACCCACATCCATAGGCCCGGAGAAACAGCATTATGCGAAAAATCCACAGCCATGAGGACACAAAGCATCTAGCAACCATTCTATGAAAATGGACATTTTATATTTTCTGAACGAAATTGAAACCTACTTATTTGGGCCTAGAAATGTCAGTGTCCTCCCATTGGAAGCGGATTAGTAAAAAAAAAAAAAAAAAAAAAAAAAAAAAACCCGAAAATCTCTCCTGTTTATTGCCCAAGCAGAGGAGCTGTAGTGGACAATCCTTTGTGTCTTTATGAAGAGTAGTAAAAGTTTTCTGGCAATACTGGAAAATTAGGATGGCACAGTAAAAAAAAAAAAAAAAAAAAAAAAAGGATGGCACAGTGGCTCTGAAATCAGCAATCTCATGGTTCTGGGAAGCTGGACCCGGTTTCCAGCAGGTGCAGCTCCCCATCTATAGAATGGGGTCAACAATCTGTGGGACCTAATAATGGGGGATGCTCTTACCAACCCCGTTATCAGGCTCCTTGCCCCAACGTTGCTACACCCAAAAAAAAAAAAAAAAAAAAAAAAAAAAAAAAAAAAAAAAAAGAAAAGAAAAAGGAAAGATTGAAGGGGGATGGCTTCTTCACTGCCTCCTTACCTATAGTCTACAATGGCTCCTTCAGAACTCACCTATAGGGGCGCACACCTTCGCCCCTAGCCATCCTGCATGTCCAGGTTCATTTTGGGAGAGCCACCTAGCCAACACAGTATGGACAGCCATGCGAAGAAAACCGCCTGGGGCACGGCACAGACCCACTTGCACAGTTTTTTTTTTGGTTAAAAAATAAATAAATATATATATACATATATTTTGTTTGTGACTATTATATATATATATAAATATATATATAGTGTGGGTGAGTGATAGTCTACTTTGATTTTGGTTAAGGTGGATTATCACTTACAGTGTAATCAGTGAGGGGATTCTACAGACTGTTGAGGG